TTTTGCAGGTAATTTATGAGAGTTAATTTTTCAAGAAAAATAAATCAAACTGGAATATTGCCAGAGCCAACATGACACATTATCTTGCTGTATGATGGACAGGTGAGCTTTTTGATGATTATATCTCAGCAACAAAGCAACTGCAGCTTGAAAGAAAAGAGGTATGTAACAATTCTGCTGGGTTCTAATACAGGGTGGATTTATCATGTCTTACTATTTTGAAACTCTCATGCAGCTCAGTCCTATTTCTGTACTATTCTAGAGGTATCTGATAGTGATGTGACTTTCCCAGTATTGCAAAGAGACTTAATAAATGAATAGCTTTTTAAAAATCAAGTTAAAATAGGTCTAAATCAATGGGTTTCTAAAGCTCTTTCCTGGGAGCTCAACAGTGCTATAGGGGACAGGTGGGGGCTTATATAGAGTAAGACTAGCAGTTAGCCACACATAAGAACTAATTTTTGTCTTGGGGTAGATGCAATCTGATCTGAAGCTGGGGGAATTAACATCTTCCCTTTGTCATAGTCAGGTCACTCTCTGATACCTATGGAACAGACCTGCGCCACTGCAGGGGCCATGGATCTATTTGATCAAACCACTCCAGGAGTCGTTTGGATCCCCTTGATTTTCAGAGGTTATCTGGAGAATTTCCTGAGACCCAGGTGGCAGTTCTTTGTCACTTCCTGGAACTCAGATGTGACTGTGGCTTTGGACAGGATTGTACTTAAGTGGCCATTTCTTGTTCATCAAGTCAGGGAGCTCTGTGGCTGTGTGTATGTGTGTCCTTTTATTTATTTAAACAGAATCAAAAAAGGAAGAAAAAGAAAAAGAAAAAAGAAAGCAAAAGAACAACAATATAGATATAGGCTTCCCATACATGTACATATACATATGTCAATAATGCTTTACACAACATTTTGGATGACCATATCTTGTTACAGTTCATACCTAATGTATGTCTATAAGCAACTTGTTCATATTTCAGAAGTAACATCAGATCTTCAATCCACTGAGTAATTGGTCCATATATCTTTACCATGTTGAAGGACAATGTCTCTTAGCAATAAGAAGTACATGGAGAATTTACGTTGTCCAGCAGTCAGTTTCCATGTAATAGGTATGTAGTTCAAAAGAATATGAATGTTCAAATATATTAGACCCTGTCTTAAAATGAAATTAATATGTGTAATAGAACAATTTTAGAACATCAGAAAAACATGTTTTAATGAAGTATTATTCTCATTGTATCGAGCATAATGATACATCCAATGGTCCAAAATATTTTTGTTGAATAAGCTGTAATCTAAGATCTACTGAAATGTTTGATATAGATGTTTAAGACAATTTCCCATTATTTAGAAAAAATGGGGATCTCCAAATCCTTATTCCCCTTTGTTTTTAAATTTTTCATGTCAAATTGATTTAGCAATAACAAATATTTATAAAGACTAATTATGGGTTGTTGTTTTTTTGTCTCATAAGATACAGTGATCACCTCTAATAACTTATGTGTCTTTGGTGCTGAAAATGCCACTGGTCCAGATTGAGATGTGACTAGATGATGTGAATTCCCAGTGGGTGGCAACAGACAGATGAGATTTATCCTTTAACATGGGAAATGATAAAAATTCATCATTATCATCTAATAATTCCTTACTTTTTTCCTCCTTGTAATGTATTATTTTAACGGATTATGGTTTTTATATTTTCTTGTTTGCTGCCCAAAGTTATGTACTTAAGATGGGCAGACATATAAATTTTATAAATAAATAAATAAATAAATAATCAATCTAAAGTAAAAAAAAAATCCTCGGATTGCTGTCCAGTGCCCCTTTTTAGAGTAATCTGATGCTGTTGGGAAAACATTGGTTGAAAGAATATTTGATGGGATGATGTAAAGGACTGGCAGTTTATCTAGAGGATAAAATTGCTCAGGTTCATTAGAGATGATGGCTTCATCTTGAAAGGTTATCTGGGTTCAGTTTGAACCCATAGGTCCCAAGGAAGTGGTCAGGGCTCTTTTGAAATAATTAAACTGTTTTGGGTTCAAGATATAATAGATTAGACATATCTCCTGTCACTATTATAGCAATTTGAAAATAATGGTATGCTATTTCTGGAAAATAGAATTTTCATCCTTTTTCTTATGCCAAACTGATGCTATGGAATAATCAAAACTTGTTTATATAAGCCAACTGAAAATAGTAATATTCCATCTTCCACCCTGGATGGGGTTATGCTTCCACAGTCTGAACAGTTTTTTAACACAGAGATCTTCCTGAACTTACAGCTTCTGCTTAAAGGACGTGGGGCAGCTGCTCCTGCAAGAGGGCCTTTGCACAACTCCATCTTATATGCCAGTTAGCACCATTCTTGGATCAGGAGCCCCATTAACAGTTGTTCATGCCATGGTCACCTCTCGATTGGACAATTGCAATGCACTGTACATGGGGTTGCCTTTAAAGATGTCCTGGAAACTGTAGCTGATTCAGAAAACAGTGACTCAAGTAATTATGGGCTACTCTACTTTACCCAGATAACACCATTACAACAAGAGCTGTGCTGGTTGCCAGGTGGCTTCTGGGTAAAATTAAAGCTCCAAATAGTTCAGGACCTGGATATGTTCCAAACTGCTTGTTCCCAGTTATCTCTGTCCATCTAATAAAATCTATTAGAGAGGGCTCCCTTGAGTCCGATCTCTGAAGGAATGTTGCTATCAGGGATCATGAAGGTCCATTGCTGCCCTTCCCTTTGGAATAGTGCTTCACCCAAGGTTGGGCAAGCAGCAAACCTGCTGGCATACAGAAAATACCATCTGGGTGTTCAGGTGCAGGAAACCATGTTTCATGGAATCCTAGGGTTTTGCAAGAACTTGATGGGGTTTCTTGAGAGACTAAGGGCAAAAAAACTAAAACCAAAACCACTCGAGCACAGCCAATTTTCTGTTACCACAGCTTTGCTTCTTGAAGGGTTCTAAGATTTTTTTTTAAAACGGACAGGTTCTGCAGCCTGAAAAGTTTGAAAACTCTTATAAAGGGATGACACAGAGGCCAGACTGTGGGAAGTAACTCCCTCATTTTAGTCTGCCTTGGTCAGTTTCTCTTCAATATTGTGTGCAGTGCTGGTCAACACAAGACATCAACGAGCTGGATCACGTTCAGAGGAGAGGGGCAAGGGAGAGGGGCGAGGGAGAGGGGATTGAAAACCAAGTCCTATAAGGAACAGTTACAGACGCTAGGTATGTTCAGCTTACAGAAGAGAAGACTAAGGAAAGGTGTAATATCAGTTTTCAGATATCTAAAGCAGCATCACAGTAAAGTTGTTCTCTTGGAGGACAAGACTAAAACCAATGGATTGAAAGTACAGATTTCAGCTTAGATATTATCACTAATGGTAATTTTCACTGTTAATGAGCGGAATAGGTTGCCCCTGAAGTGGTATATTCTCCTCCATTACAGGTCTTCAAAAAGAGGCCGAGTAGCCACCTGTCTAAGATATTTTAGCGGATACTGCACTGGGCAGGGGATTGGACTAGAGGACCTTTGTGGTCCCATCCAAATATGTGAATCTAACTCAGATGTAAAGCATATATTTATTCAAGTCTGTTAATAGCAAGAAGAGAATAGTAAAAATGCTTTCTTTTGCCCAATGGCCCTTGAAAGTCTTTGCAAATGAAGAACTGCAACGGAGCATTTTGGGTGTCCTTACTTCTGGGCAGCCCATCTGAAAGTACAGATTTCAGTACAAGTTGCAAAATGGAGTTTAAAGCCCCTGCAAAATCTGAATCCTGTGACTTATCTTTCTCCCTGTGTAGAAATCATAATTTGTTCCTGGCTTTTAGAAGGTGAAGGATCTCTTTAGCCACCTGATAACTTTAGCAGCTATCAAGAAGAAACTTTATGTCCTTCTAAAGCACCCCTCTTCCCTTCCCTGGCTTGAAGGACGCCTGAAGGAGTTTTGTCCTTCCTCAGGTAGATCTGCCCTAAAAGGCCGATCCACTGTTCAATCACCTTGAATCTGCATCTCTAAAGCAAAGATGACTGTCCACACCCTGCTCCCTTCAACTCAGCCTGCTCCTGATACCAGTGAAGCAATCTGCAGTTTTGCCTGCAGGAGTTCTTCTTCAAGGCGATTTATTTCTTCTAAAATACTTTCAAGTAGAGGACATTAAGCGCTCCTCAAGCAAGGAAAGCTCCACAGTGTCTCCAACTACAAGACTCTTAGCACAATCTGATCAAAAGCAATTCCGCCTTTCTCCTCCTTAACAGATTTACTTAACCATGAAGAAGCCACATTTGGCTTGATTCAGACCGGTGGACCCATAGATCATGGCTTATAAACCACAAGAGCTGGTTCACTCAACACACTAAGCCAACATTAAACAAAAAAATGATGGCTTAGAACAATGTGTAATTTCAGTCAGCATTTCCTATTGAAATGTCCACACTGATAAATAAGCCCTGCTTGCTTTGTCAAAAGGCCATCTTTCCATCTTTCCCAACCTGACACTACACTCCCACAACCCCCAGCCCAGAGGCTGTCAGGCCTGTGTGGTCCGGTCAGTGGTGAGAGGTTAACTCTCCTCCCACCCATTTGCATAATGCAAGACCATTGGCTCTTTCCTTACAGGCAGTTGCGGAAATCTGAATAAACCAAGGACGCGATTAAGAGAAACCGCTGTCTAGGCGGCTCCTTATAAGGCCAAGGCGCGCTCGCCTGCGGAGCCGCTCGGCCCGTCCGTCTCCAGGTGGGAGCAAGCGCGGCGCACCTCCCCCCGCCGCCCGCAGAGGGCCCCGCG